CTCTAACCCAGGGTTCCTGGATAAGGGCAAAGTCAAAAGCCCCACCCGCAGTACTCGCACAGAGTACCGCAGTGGCAGCTTTACTGTGCTGTAGGTTCGCCTGCAGTATTCGGATCGTCATCAGGAGCACCTGAAAGAACCTTGAGTTGAACCCTTGTTATACCCAAGAAAATCCTCCAGCCCCTGTCCCTCAGGAACTTGGCACTCCCGCAGTCAATTGCCAGAACCAGAGTTTGGTGTTCCGCCTCTCGCTTGCAACTGACCACTCTCCAGTCTCTGGTTGACAGTCCAGGATTCAGCTTCTGGACAAACTCAAAGATTTCTTTAGGATCTTTCCTGGCCAGGATCCAGTCGGTATGGAGAAGGACCTTGGTTGTACGCAGGAGATCTTTATGATCCCCCACAATCACACTCGGCCCCCCCACGCCCACCGGACCCAGACCAACAGCCACCTCCTTGAGCCAATCTCTGGTCTCCTCGTTTCCGCACAAGACTGCGAGGGCACCTTTGTCCTTGTAGGTTTTCAGGATCTGCTGAGGAGTGGCGGCCATAATAACCATCTCAAACAGTTTCTCCTGTAACAGGCAAAATTGTTCATCAGTGAACCTATCGTCAGGATAATTCTCCGGAACAATCGCCATCTTCCAGCCCGAGAGTTGGTCCTTGAAGGTCAAGTCCTTGCTGGCATCGCCCTCTGCAGCGCTCCTTGGCGGCGGGGGTGGGACATCCCACCTTCTCGGCCGCTTTGGAGTCTGCTGAGTCTGATGCTGCTGCGGTGGACCTGAAACTCTGCGCATAGGAGAAATACCAGAGCCCTCTCCTCCAGCAGGACTGGGAGTTTCAGCCTGCCTTTTCCTCTTGGGCTTGTTGACAAACCCTTTGGATTTTTTGTACTCGGCTTTTGAAAGCCAAGTACCCTCAGCCTCCTTCCTTGCCCTGACCTGTGTCCTCCACACACTAGGGGGTAAAGATGGCCGTTGTCTTCTCTCCTGTTCTGGAACAGTTGCACATGCCTGGGTCTCTACGCACAGATCCGGTGTTGCCACCTCAGAGGTAGAGCCCAGGGTTAGATTTGAATGGGCGATTGAGTCAGCCACACTACCCGCCAAAGCCCTGTGTGCTTCCTCAAGCATTTGAACATCGTCGATACTAAGGTTTTGTGGAGATCTAGCAGTGAGGGAGCTGGCAAAAGCCTCTTTGCCCCCCTCCACCTTCGTCTCTGAAACAGTGCCTGATAATTTGCCCTCCCCAGAATCCATGGGCAAGCCCTCCAAGATGGAGGGGTGGGATTCACGCCTAGGCGCTGACCCACCTGGGGTATTTTCCGTAGTTTGATTAGCAGACATCATAGCTTCTGAAACAATACCAGGTTAGCAGTTTGAAGACCGTACCGTGTTCCATACACTCCGCTCATCAATACTTACTCCAGCACCGCTGCACACATACCAGAACTGGAGGGCAGTGCAGCAGCCTTACCGTGATCCATTCACTCCGCCTGCTGCTCAATTGACACTGAGCCCGGACCGGTGTCCATCACCTCGGCCTCAGGTCATACTAGTGTCGCTGCTCCCCGACCCTAGGGCAGACATTCACTCTGCCACCATAGATCCGCTGCCTTTAGTGATAACAGTGGCACCCCATGTAGGCTGTGACTAAAGGACACAGTACAGATTAACTGACTCACAGCGGTCTTGAGGGAAGGGTGCCACAAGGGCCCACATCCCCCCTGAGGGGCTTACGCTTACCTCTCGCCACCAGCTGGAGCGGATGCGATTCCAAAACAAAGTCGCTTGTATCTGTAAAAGTCCTTTGATGGTATTAATCACTAGTAAGTCTTGCAAATCTCTATCAACTGGTATTGACAAGTAGGCATCAGATAAATCTATCTCTGAGAATTTTTCTCCTCCATTCAGCTTAGCAAATATTTCCTCAGGTGTAGGTAGAGGAAACTTCTGAATCTTTAAAGCCTGATTTAATCCTGTTGAAAAATCTGTACAAATTCTTATTTGACCAGAAGGTTTTTTGACAACTACACAAGGTGCAGCCCAATCAGAATAGTCAATTGGTTCTATCAGATCAGATTCTACAAGCCTGTCGATTTCCTCACACACTTTGTCCTTTATTGCAAACGGAACTGGCCTTGCCTTTTTGTAAATAGGAGAAGCGTCTTCCTTTAAAATTAAGTGTGCCGTGAATTTTGTACAATGGCCGCTTTTGTTACAAAAGAGTTCCTTATTATAATCAATTAATTTACTTAAGCTCATTCTTGGAAGTGAACTTTGAAACCCTGACCATGAAATGTCATCAACTTCCTTGGAAACCCATAAAGAATCACTTTGTAATTAATTAAGTGGCAATTCGTTGATTTTAAGCTCCTCGATCCAGTCTCTACCTAAAAGATCCTGAGTGCCACCTTCAGCAACGTACAGCTTTAGCTCTCTTTTAGTTTTCCTGAATGCCACTTTAACTGTTTGTTCACCAATCAAGTTTATGCAATGACCACTATAAGATGTCAGTTTTGTATTTGAATGAAATTTTCCAATCTTTCTTAGGGAATAAAGTTCGTCGACATATAACAGAAACACAACTTCCTGTATCTAGTTGCATATTAATTAAAATACTATTGATACAGATAGAAACCCAAATTGGAGAAAATACACTCACATTATGACACTGAAGACCAAGAGAAGAAATAGCTTTATTTGTCAACTTAGGTGAACAATCAAGTATGTTAAGAGTCGATAACGGTTCTATAATCTCTTCCTTTTTCATTTTCAGTGAAATTTACTTGGCGGTTGTACGTTCCTTTTCCATGTCCACCAATTTTTTTGTTTTGAAAATCCGTTCTACCGTACTTTTAATTTTGCAAACTTTTGCCAAGTGACCTTTTGTATCACAATTATTACATATTGCATTTCTAAATCTACATTGTTTCCTAAAATGGTCACCACCACAAGAATAGCATAAATAGTTTGAATTTGTAATTAGAACCTCTCCATTGCTCTCATAATCGGAAAATGAAATAAGATTTTTCTTTGCTGAAGTGGTAAAAACTGAACTTAATGTTCTAGCGAATTCAAGTACAGTATTGAAATCTGTGTAATCTTTCTGAAGTAAATTAGCTCTAATAGAATCTTCATTTATGCCCATTATGAAGGATGTAATGAGAGCATCTTGATAAAGTCGCCAGGGAAATCACAACTGCTGGCTAATTCTTTTAAGTTGCAAAGGTGGACAAAGATTCATCACCTTGCTCCAGTGAAAAGAATTTTACTCTTTCAGCAACTTTAAACTTTACTGGCTTGAAATGCTTTACCTAAAGTTCATAAAGTTGTTCATAAGTGAATTCACAAATATCTTTTGGCTTGCAAATAGTTACGAATGTTTTAAGAACTGTACTATCTAGGCAGTCAATGAATAAACATCTTTTAATATCATCATTTGTAATATTGCCCAAACATAAATTTGCCTTGAATTTAATATTCCAGACATCAATGTCGCATGAATTAGGGTTAGATTTTTCACATCTAGGTTGACTTACCAACATAGGATTATTAAGAGTTGCTGGTAATGTATCTTCAGACATTATAATTAATTAGACTGTGGAATTGAATAAACTATCTTGCACTCTTAAGTTTTCCATAAAATCATCCTTGTTGCCAGTTTTATGTTTGAAGTTAATACATAAATTGATAGGTAAATTAGTTGAATAAAATAGAACTGAACTTATTCATGAGTCAAAACTAGAAACAAAAACAATAATAATAAGAACTTAAAAGTCAGCTGCAATTAAACAATGTTAAAAACATATCAATTTGATAGATTATTTTACGGGAGCGTTTCATAAAGTCCAAATTTCACAAAGTCCAACAGTTAAAATATTAAATAAACAGAGCGTTTCACAAGGTCCAAATTTCATAAAGTCCAAAACTATAACATTCAAATAATCACCGTTTCACAATGTCCAAATTTCACAAAGTCCAATGTTAAAATATCAAATAAACAGAGCATTTCACAAGGTCCAACGGTACAGTCTGGGCCAGAAGTCTCTACAGTGGTTGCCACGGTTAGATAGCAGGCACCGTCCGCCGGCCCTCAACTACTGATTACTGATTACTCCCTGTTGCAGCAAACCTAAGTACGATACTTGTTAAACTAATGCTATTTAAATTGGGAATAAATGTGATCATTTTAAGGAGATATTCTAGTGTAAATCAAATAAGGGAAATGGAAATTCTATGAGTCTGCAGGTTTGCTGCGGAGGGGGTAAATACCACTATTTTACACTCTTTACAACATATCTTCGGACCCACAATGATGTTTTGTGACGCGCGGCAAGAACACTAGATCGTGTAGTGACTTAACACCGAACCACGGCAACCTCTGCAGCGACTTCTGGCCAAGACTGTACCGTTGGACCTTGTGAAATTTGGACCTTGTGAAACGCTCTGTTTATTTTATATTTTAACATTGGACTTTGTGAAATTTGGACATTGTGAAACGGTGATTAATTGAATGTCATAGTTTTGGACCTTATGAAATTTGGACCTTGTGAAACGCTCTGTTCATTTGATATTTTAACGTTGGACTTTGTGAAATTTGGACCTTGTGAAACGCTCTGTTTATTAATATTTTAACCATTGGACTTTGTGAAATTTGGACCTTATGAACCTCACCCTATTGTACCAGTTAGGGCCTCCACAATATGGCGGGGAAGCCATTCATGGCAACAAAGTGGTGCCATATTCATTGCTGTAACTTATTCCACTCACAAAATATTCAGAATAACATAAATGTAAACTGAAAAATGGCTTTGCACTCCCAAACAATAATTTCCACCATTTGGTAATGGTGCAAGATAAAAACATTTTAATAATTGCTGTGAACTTTGCATTTATAGAGTAAAAACATATCAAATAAATAAAAAAAAATGGTCCAACAACTAATTTTATTGGATCATCACTTTATATGTATTGGCCCAATAACTTAAATTTTTTCAGGAAGGACCTAATGTCTCAGAGAAGGCCTGTCCACGACAGACTCGGGTGGAAGGTAAGTAACATTTTATTTGCATAAAGAAATATAAATGTGTGTCTTTATGTTAATTAGTGGTGTGCGGATAGTGAAATTTCAGTTCGGATCGGATTCGGTTCGGATAGTTAAGGCTCGGTTCTGATCTGATCGGAATTAGAGGTTCGGATTCGGATGGTTTGACGTTCAAGTACCTAATAAATAAATATTAACGTTGAGAAGTTATAATTTACATTTTTACATACAAAAACTACAATATGAATACTGCGCAATTGTGATATTTTAAATTATTAATCTTGGTTCAGTTATAAAAACTGAAGTTTAAATTCACAGCTTAACTTAGTCAAACATAAGGAAAAAAATAAACCTTATATCTTTATATCTTTAAACAATTAATTTATATGGCAAGGCAATGTCTCAGTGTAGACCTTATATGTACTGTTTTTTTTTTGTGGGGTTGGGGTAATAACCTACCCCTAGCTACTTTGGCCTGGAGACCTTTTGTAGCACCCTTTAATTCATTATGACAGCCCTAGGCTTCTCAAGTAGCCCAGGAGCTGAAAGACATCCAGCTTCCTTATCTCTGTTGGTTCCAGGAATAACCTCCCCAGAGATGTAAGCCTTCTATGGGCTGGACAGTCCAGCCATAAGTGTTCTGAGGTTTCTACCTCGTTCTCACAGAACCTGCAGAGGTCTGTCTGTGACCTCCCTATGGTCCTTAGATGTTTCCTCATAGGACCGTGCCCTGTTAACACTCCTACTAATAGACTAATGTCCCCTTTCTTAAGGCTCAGCAAGCCTTTCCAACCTTTATCAGTGGGGTCAATTAGTAATTTAGACGTCCTCATACCTGGGTGGTTCATCCAGGCCAGAGCCTTTTGAGCCTTGACCCAGTCTTGGACTTTGGCTACTCGTGAGCTTATGGGGGTACCACAGTAGGGTTCTGGTCCTGACAGTTGGTCTTCCGCACCCTTTCTGGCCAATGCATCGGCTTTTTCGTTCCCCTCATGCCCCGAATGTCCAGGAACCCAAGACAATTTAACTTGGTTTCGCTCTGCTAACTTTTTGAGAGTGTTTTTACACCCTTTTACTGTTCGTGACTGTGTCACACATGACCCCAGCGCCTTCAATGCTGTCTGGCTCTCAGAGAGAATAAGGATTTTCCCCTTTCTTAGATTCTTGCCAATAATATTATTAGCACCTAGCACTTAATCGCCAGGACCTCTGATTGAAATACTGTCGTTGTTCTACCCAAGGCCAGAGATATTTTGGTTTTGTTACCATACACTCCCAGCCCTGATCTCTCATCCTTCCGACTTCCGTTGGTGTAATAGACCAAGCATGCTCTGTCAATGCTGAAGTTGCACTGTTGCCAGTTGTCTCTTCCCCCTATTGCAACTTGGTAAGGATTCTCGAAGTCGTATTCCTTTGTCATGAGGTCTGGTGTGCCTAGTTCCATGTCCATGCTTGGGAATCCCCTCAGGATGGACAGGTGACCAGACTGCCTCTGTAGATTCAGCTCGCCTCTGCTACCCATTTTTAGTGCAGATATAGCTGCACATTTCTTGACTTCCAGCCCTAGTGGGAGCATGTCGAGTATTGCCTCCATTGCAGCTGTGGGACAGGATTTCATGGTCCCACAGATCCCCGAACACGCTAGCCTTTGCAGCTGCTGCAGTTTCCTGCCAGCTACTGTCTGCTCTGCCTTAGGCCACCATACTAAGGCTACATATGTAACCATTGGTTTGACTATGGCTTCATAAGTCCAATGTGTAAGTTTGGGACTAAGTCCCCATTTCTTGCCAAAGATTCTTCTGCAGGCACCAAAAGCTCCTGTTCCTCACCCTTGGAGGAGTTATCTCACCCTTGCTGTGGGCTCTTGTGGTGGACGATCTACTGAGAGAGGCTGATAGGAGAGACATGGACATCCAAGCCTTTGCAGACGACCTAGTGCTGACTGTCAGAGGAAAACACGCAGCCACAGTGAACAACCTCACCCAGACAGCCGTTAGCTTCATTGAGGGGTGGTGCTCCAAAGAGGGGCTCACAATTAACCCTGACAAAACAGAGATAATTTCCTTTACGAGAAGGAGAACAAACCTAACAGCCCCGAAAATTCAGGGGACAAGTGTAAAACTTGTGAAGGAAACAAAATACCTTGGAGTTTACCTGGACTAGAAACTGACCTGGAGCAGGCACTTTGACTATGTACTTGTATAGGTACGCGCGCACTGCGCCGTCACGGCCGTCACCGCCTTTTTCAGGGGGGGTGCGCGCACTGCGACGGCACGGCCGGCTGACACGGCCGTCACAGCATTTTGGACTGATGTATTTTGCAGTTTAGTTGTTTTGCTGTGAACAGTGTGAGTGTGGGAGCTATGGATATCGACGAAGACGTGGTGGTAGTTGGATTAATTTTTAGGGCAAGAGGAAGAGGAAAGCGAGATTTTGGATACATAATATAAATAGAAAACGACTAGGTTTTGGTGAATTTCACACATTATTCCCCGATCTTGTAGAGGACGATGATAAATTTTTCCAGTACTTTAGGATGACCCATGACAAGTTCGAATGTCTACTTCGATACCTAGAGGAGAGTCTTTCTAGACATGATACAAATTTCCGATGTCCAGTCAAACCGAAGGAACGATTAGCTGTTTGTCTAAGGCAAGTACTAAGGCAAGTACATCGCGTCTGTGACGTCCGTGCCGTGGGGTGCGCGCACTGGGACAGCATGGACGTCACGGACGCCGCGGAATTGTCCTGAGATTCGCTCCTCCGAACTTTCTGACAGACGTCGGTGGCGGCGGTGGCGTCCGTGACGGCCGTGCCGTTCTAGTGCGCGCACCTCCATTACATTACATGGGAACGACTTTTGTAAAAGGCCGGCCGTGACGGCGCAGTGCGCGCGGGGCTTAAATGTACTGTTATTAGAACGGAATTTAAAAAAAAAACTTATTAGATATTTACAGAAATCCAATTAAATCATACTGTTTGGGCATTATTGTAGTCTTGCGCGATGCAGTAAATTCAGAACGAGCGATCTTTGCAGATGGTTCACGAATCTGTATCGGAATAGCTGTATATCCGATCCCCAATCTTTACAGATAAATCACAAATCTGTATCAGAATAGCTGTGTATCCGATACCGGGATCTGCACAGATGAACCGCAAATCTGTATTGGAATAGCATTTTTGCAGTTTATTTCGTATCGCGTGAACTTTGCAGATGAATAACGAATCTGTATCGTAATAGCTGTATATCAGATCACGCGATCTTTGCAGATAAATCACGAATGTGTAACAGAAAAGCTGTAGCCTATATCTGATCGCGGGATCTTGGTAGAAGATTCAACAAACGATATCGGAACAGCGTTATATTATCCATCGCGCAATTTTCGTAGAAGATTCGGGAATCGGTATCAGAATAGCAGTTTATTTACGATTGTGCAATCTTCGTTAAAGAGTCAGCAATCCGTATTTGAATTTGGAATAGCGGTATATTTTCGATCGAGCGATTTTCGTAGATAAGTCGGCAAATTGGTATTGGAAAAGAAGTATATTTCCGATCTTGCGATCTTCGTAGAAGTCACCTACACCGGTGACCGGTTGGTGGTATCGGAATTTTTGGAATAGAGGTAATTTTTCGATAGCGCGCTCATGTAAAAAAGTGAAAATCTGTAACTGGAATAGCGGTATATTTTTGATCACGCGATCTTGTCAGAAAAGTTGAAAATCGTTATCGGAATAGTAGTATATTTCCGATCACACGATTTTAGTTGATAAGTCTGCAATCAGTATTAGAATAGCGGTAATGAAATGCCAATGAAGAAATTTTGTGTTAAGCGTTTAAAAAACAAGACATTAGTTTAGTGTACCGCACCCGACGGCTAGAGTGATCTTCAAAACCTGTAGTGCATTATTACCTCTGATTGTGTTGTGAAGACGGTAAAGATTAAATATATTTTTTAGTAACTGTATTATTTATATTTCCAACCGTAACCACATCATTACTAATACCAACAGTAACCTCTTAATTACTATTATCAACAATAACCTCACCTTTGCTATTGTCAATCAATATTAAAGAATCTCATTAACATTATCAACAATTACCTCACCTTCGCCATTGTCAATATCAATATCAAACAATCTCATTATCATTATCAACAATAACCTCCCATGACAATTAATTTGATTTGTTTAATTTTATCTTTAACTCCTACTTTGTTTCTTTCAGAATAGCCTGAACAGAAAAATGTACTACAAGGTAAACCACTACCTACCATAGGGCACATTGCAGAGGTTACTTCCACAGTTGTAATGGTTTAGTGAAAAAAAAAATTATAAAGTGCACATTCTGAATCTGGCTGTAAATTAATGTCCACCAAGTATTGCTGGTCTTTGGCCTTGGGTCCTCTGAAGGTAACCTCCGGGCTAACTGGAGGCTACCTACTATTAGTTTGGGCTCTCAGCAGTCGCTTACAAAACCTAACTTAATTATTAGCCCACCAAAAATACTAACAAAGAAAAAGGTAGAGTAGAATGGGACAGTGTTAAGTAATAGAAACCCCAATTTAGAAAAAAGGTCAATCACCAATTTTGAAAACGCTTAAGATAGTCTGATCTGTGCTCCCCCAGCAGGATCCTGAATAATGTAGGCCTATGTTGTGTATATTGTATGTAGTAGGTTGTATATAACACGTTTGTGATGGTAATTAAAATTTCCATCTCCTTGTTTTGTAGGACCATTTGAGCTGAAATAGGACCAAAAAATGTACTTTTGTTCATCATATTTTTTAATGAAAAAGTACATACATTTAACTTGTTATTGTGATTTAAACATTTATTTTTTTAGGGAAAAATATACATAGCGAGTGTACGGATGGGGTACATTTTTTATATGACTACAGTAGAACACCTAATATCCAGCCTCAGAATTTCCGGTCCTTGGTTTATCCGGTCACTTCCTGGACTTGATACCAAGACTATTTCTCACGGTTTATCTGTATCCTGTTCATATACATTTTTAGGGTGTTTACTACTCAGTTGAACTAGTAGGTTCCAAAAAGAGGCTTAGATACTGCTTTTAACCAATCACAAGTTTTGTTATTACATACTAATTATGGTTTTAATAATATTTGTATTTTTGACATTAGCCTACATATTGTTTTTTTTTTTTCAAAATGTTTGGTTACTAATACATTCTTCCTTTTTTTCAGAAAAAAGGGAATTTTCAAAATAACAATTCAAACAGGTAAGTGTTTGATAATTTTCAAAATTGTTATATTTGTATAAAGCTATTTTTATTAAGAAAAGATTGAAAAGTAATAGCTCATTTAGCATTCCCAAGCAAATTGGTGGATTTGGGGATAATTGCCTGGGACTGTGTATACTACAATATCCTACAACAAAGCTGAACTCTGCAAATGTAGGCAATACATTTTGGAAGCTCTGTTACCTGAAATGAATGTACTTTACATAAAACAACTATTCATTAGCACTGTTTCACTGACACTATGAGACAAACTTTGATCGTTTCCGACATGACTATAATACTTGACATGCACTACTGGGCCAAGATATATGGTTACCCAGGCTTACAAAGACTTTCTACCACCAATTCCTAATTGCTACTACGTTGCACACATAGGTAATTCACTCTAACCTTCCACTAGACTATTGAGACTACACTCAATTACTGCGTACAAAAAACACATTAGTCCCTGGTTCAAATTCATTGGTAGAGATGGCGCTAATGTACTATTAGACTGGGCGACTGTTGTGGTTAGTGGTTGTAGGGAGGTTAATCTGGTTATTATCTATGTTGTAATGTAATTTCTCAAAGTTCCACAAGTACTGTGGAGTCATGACAGTAATTAGAGGTTTCTTTGTTTTTTCTATATTATCAAAGCTCTTATTTCTTTTGTATTACAATATAAAATGACTCACTCCCATGCACGGGTTCTTCCATTTTTGATTATTTTAGTTTATTTTTAAGTTATACAGTTAGTTTAAAACTTACCTTTATTGTACGTACTATATTTTATAAAACTGATTATTTTATTTGAAATAGAAGAAATTTTGATTTTATTGATTTTATTTTAAAATCATTAGCGGGATAAGAAATAAATGAGATACATGATATTAAAACCTGAAGAATCATTTATAAATTCCCTCTTGAAACTAGTTTAAAAGTTAGTGGTTCACAAACTTAAAAAAATTCATAAACTTTTTTTTATAGTATGGCTCCTCCACTTACAACAAGAGTGCTGAAGAGACATAATGAAACAAATGGCAATTTCACAGTTAAGCGAATTAAGAAATCTCCTTCAGTATCGTCATTTTCTGTTAGAAGTAGCAGACCTCAACTAAAAAGGTAAGGATAGTAAAATCTGATTATTGGTTACTATTAGTAATTTGTACTACTGAAATAAATTGGACGAACAATTCATACATTCATTTACAAAATAAAACTCTAGGTATGCTTTGAATGATTGTTTTGTTATATAGAGGGATCAGCTGTCTTAGTTCAGGGTTCCCACGGACTTTGAAAGTCAGGGAAAGTTTTTGAAAAAGGCGACAAGTCAGGGGAAATTCAAAAAAAATAATATTCCCCAGTCAGGGAAATTTATTAAAAACTTGTATGGATCAAGTTAATTTTTGTTGGATGATTGGCTTAAAAGATCACTAAACTTCTGAAAAGTCCATAGGGTATGTAATTTTAAGTTATTCTTATGGAGAACAAATAAGACGTTGTAGTTCGCTCGTTTAGAATTATGGTGCCGGGGGACAGGTTGTGGTTAAATCGTTAAAAAGCAATATCATAAATATAAATTTTGTAATTTAAAAAGTATTTTATTACAAACCAAAGACATTTGATCGCTGAAATGATAACAGCTCTGTAATATAAAAGTACTAGTGTACCTGTTGCTCGAATTCGAGCAATTGCGAAGCATTACAGGCGACTCAAAGATTATGTAAATACTCACAATCTACACAACAGTTAGATATAATCAAAATCTTTTATAAATATCTTATCTTTTTCAAAAAGCTGATCTTGTTTTTTAAGTGTTTTCTACAATTTTTTTCCTCTCATAGCCGCATTAGGTTGTCTATGATAACGATTATAAATGAAAAAACCCCCGCCGCGGCAAACCTGCAGACTTAGCGAATTTCCATTTGCCTGATTGGATTTAAACTAAAATGTCTCCTTAAAAATATCACATTTATTCCCTATTTAAACAGAATTAGTTTAATGAGTACTTAGGTTTGCTGCAACAGGGAGGGTAAAAAAGTTTTTTTTGTGTATAATATTAAAAGGTACTGTGGTTTAGTAAGAAATTAATGTATTTTCCAAATGTTATCAAAATGTGTTCATAAACAAGCAAACTACAACAGTTGACTTATTGTCCATAAGAATAACATGGGAATTTTAAAATTACAATTTTTTTTGAATTTTCTCCGTAACAATTAGGCGCATAATAATGCTTCAATATACTAAATTATTTGTTTTTTTAAGCTCTACAAAATGGTTTAGAAAGAAATTGTGAAATTTTGTGTTTTTAGGGTCAAAAATGGGAAAAACCTATTTTTACCCCATAAAACCCCCCATAAACCCCCGTTCCCATAGTCCGATCATGCTGTTTCGCGAACTCATTCAAGTTTATCCCGCCTTACACCTTCAAACCAAATTTTATCAAAATCGGACAAAAATTACTCAAGTTATCGTGCGGATGGACACATCTATATCTATATCTATCTATATATTAATAGGCAAGCATGTTTCTTTAAAACCTTTTTTCTCAGCTCGTGTGAATCGTAGGGAAAATCTACGCATACCGTTGGAAAGCTATTTTCCTGTAGGTGTGCAGAATCCCTTTATAAATTTAAATAGGCTCAAAGATAAGCACAAAAAATGAGTTTGAAAATTTGAAAAAATTAACATGGATCTTATGCGTTGCTATGCTGGTTACGAAATAACAACGAAATATAAACAGAAAATCAAAACAAATGGAGGAAACTCCAATCACATGTTTTATTTACAGTGTGGGGTGAAAATAGATAAGTGAGTACATTACATATTTTTGGTCGAGTTTCGACCACTGGACGACCTCTCGTACTTATTTAATACGCAAGCACGATTTTTGTGACAATTACTCCTCCGAAACTACTGAACCGATTGACATGTTTTTGGTGTCATTGGAAAGAGCGTAACGTGAAGTTGTGCAGGAAACCTTCTTTTTAAGGAAATAATTAGAGAGTGAGGCCCTGGGGCCCTTTAAAGTTTCGTATTTCTCCATAAGGAAAACAAGGGAGATAATTTTTATTTACAGAAACATATGTTTGTTACTTGAAAATAGTCAAGGTCTACTACATAATAATTGCTGTGTATTATGTATACTACATTTCAATCAAGGATTGTGTACCTTAAAGTTTACTCATAATGGATCTCACTACTTTATTTTCATGCTGGGAATAGTAAAATTTAGTTGAGAATAAGTTACCATATTTAGAAAACTTTACTATAATAATTGATGTATTTAAAATCACAAATCTTTGACATTATTAATTCATTAGAAACGAAACAGCTGATCGAGAAATCAAACAAATCATCTACTTCATGTGAATAATGTTTTTACACAAACATAGTTTTTTTTTTTACCAATAACTTGATTTTTTTTTATACTTGTGGGTGTGTTTTGAGTTTGCAGTTATGAAAGCACCAAGCCAAGTACCTTTTACCTAATTTTCTTTATAAACTAACAGTATTAATGAATTACTACACGAACTTTACAAGATAGGTAGTTAATTGTCAGTATGCCAAGGGGAAGAGTGGGTCCTCGAAAACAGTCGAAGGCAGAGGCACCCATCGAGAAAATCCAACTGAGTTTTTAAATATAGAGGTCAGTGGATTGCCAAGACACGGATTATACTAATAAAAGGAGGCAGTGGTTTTATTGATACTAATACATCAAAAAGGGCCCCATTAATGGCACAAGGCTTCATGTGATCAGAACGGTTAACAACAATGTAAAGTAGAATGTAAAGTCCTAACATGGAACAAGTGAGTAGGGACATATTTTGATTTCGAGGATAAAAAATTTGCCCGTCTGAAACAAAGTTACCTTTTAAAATGGAAAGATGCTAAATTCTGTTATCTTTGGCATTTGCAGCACAAGCACTTTAATTAAAGAGTAGCAATGTTCTTAGCCAGACCAATTTAAGTCATAAGCAACTTTAAACTGTATATGTTGTTTTAAGTAAGGCTACATATTTTAATAGTAGGATAAGCATATTCATTACGGAAAATTCTGACCAGGGTAATATTCCTGAAGGTAACTTTAAGACTAAAATCGTAGTATTTATGGAAGTGCTTTTGTGATAAAAATATTGTTTTTAGTGTTTATTTTTAAAAGTGTTTTCTTCAAGCAGCATTTTATGACCCTCAAAATATGCTACATTCACTGCCTATTGGTTTGATATGATAAAACGTTTTGTTAAATGTGTTTTTAAAAATCTTAAAAAAATAACTACCCTGTAAAATACTTGAACTTGAACACTTATTAATTTACTAAATATAATACGCATACAGCTAGAAAACGGCTGGATTGCTTCCCTTCTAAGGCTTTATTATTACTGTATTTAATTTTTGACGAGTCAATATATAACACGATGAATTTGTTTTCTAAATTCATATGTTTTTGCGGGGCATTGAGCCGCACAGGTTCACTAGTATATATATATATCTCTATATATAGATATATAAAAATTTGAACGAATGGTGTTTTTGGCCTCTGGGGACATCAAAATGAAAAATTAAATCGGTCCCGGGCTTAGGTCTTACCATGAGACCTACGGTAATAGCTACTTCCCTATAGGGAAATTCGCTAAAAAAAAACATTATTTCTATTTCTTCTACTTGGTTGTGTTCTATGACTTTTCCTATGTTTCCATTGTTTGCAAATCGGTTATTTCAATGATTGCTCAAGAAATGTAGAAGAGTGTTAATTCAGTTTTATTTCTAGCCTATATCAAATTGTCCAGGATTTCTCGCTCTTTTCCATTCTAATAATTACACCAACCCAAGTTTCGTCTACAGATGCAATATGCCAACGAATATCACTTACGTACAATCTCCAAGAAGTGGTATAAAAAGCAGAAACCAACCCATACAATAGATATAAGTTAACTTCAAAAGAAATAATTTTAAGAGTTACTGTGATATTAGGATTTTCCACTGATTTGGTAATAGAAAACATTGCATTGGTAATAGATATTGCAAAACATGACACGATGCAGAAGAAAATCCATTTTAAAATCAGAAAAACCCATTGCAAATACTGTACTTCATTTTGACAAATTCAATAAATCACAATTTAAATATTAACAGCTGCTTCATTAAAAAGTAGTGTAGAATTATGCATGGTCGTAATGTAAACAAATCTGAAGAGGCAACTTTAAAGGCTTCTGGGGCAGAGCCCCAAGGGAATTTACCTCATTCCTCTTTTGATGTCTCGTCTACAGACCAAGACCTTTCTTTAGAGACCCCTACCAAGTTTCTACACCCAGCCGTTCTCTCAAATTAGCTGTGACAAAAACCCCGTTTTCCTCCATAAGAATAACATGGGATGGGAATTCAAAAGCCACTGGGGCAGAGCCCCAAGGGAATTCACAATGTTTCTCTTTTGATGGCTCATCTACAGACCAAGACCTTTCTTTAGACACCTCTACCGAGTTTCTACGCCCAGCCGTTCTCTCAAAATAGCTGTGACAAAGAAAAACAGTTTCAAATTAATATATAGAATGTAACCAAACAAAAATAAGATATACTTTTATGATCTTGAAAGTACTACTTGCACAGAATTTTTCTCCCGTCTAGTTATTGAAACCCGTTGTTCACCAATGACAGCAGGTAAAAATATAATACAAACAAAATTATGTTAGGGTCAAAATGGCTTGTGACAAAGATTTTCAATACTACTTCTAACTTCTATAGAAATTGAGATTCTGTCTGTTTGCCGATTAAAACCCGCTGTTAATTAGTTTACTTGGAATGCCTACGTGGATCGAGTTTTGGCAGGATAGGGCTAAGTAAAATAAATAATCTGTATTTGATCAGAACTATTTTACCCTATATTAAGGAACGCGGCAGCGTTCCGCCCCGCCAAGTCCCCCAGCGGTACACAGCTGCTGCAGTTCAATCTTTGCTTAATAGATACAACTGATTTTTCCCCCTTTTTACTGAATTTGCTGGTATACTGTGGATACCTTTTTATCAACACATGTGACTAGTCTTTTGTTTACTTTTTCTTTGTTTTTTTGTTCAACCAACTTAGTTACTATAGCACCTTGTTTTCTTCATCACGAACGGATGAAAACCTCTTTAGAGAAGGAGTGGGGGGCGTGACGTCACTCTTCTCTTGAGGGATCTTCTTTGATTTTATTTGACCACCGTTATCGTAACGAGACAATATGATTCCATCGGTGTTTGTGGCGTAGTTGATATTGATATTCATATTCATATTCAAACATCTTTATTCATCATAAGTCATGTACATTGGTGGTACAGTGAATAGTGTCAGAATACTTAAAACAAAAATACTATATCTATGTATGGGAGGTGGAAAACTCCTCAAAAGAATATAATGCTAAATTTATTAAATAAGATAAATGATAGCGTCTCGACTGGTGTTATGGAGGTCTCCAGTTAGAATCCTGCTGGGGATATTAACTTTTTTTCAAAGATTTTGCTTAAAATGTGAATCTGTACATCTTTTGTTAGAATTTTAGGCATTAAAATTTTATTTATGAACAGAACAATTTTTTTTTATTAGTAAACCTTCATTCGATTTTTATCTTGTATCTTTTTTATATTATCAGCAAGTTTGGTTGTTTAGGTTAGGTTATGACAGTTTAATTTTATAATTGAAAATTTTAAGTAAATCTTCATTTGATTTGTATCTTCTTTTTTATATTATCAGCAAGTTTGGTTGGTTAGGCTAGGTTATGATTTTATAATTAATAATTTTAAAATTAATTTTATAATTAAAAATGTTTATTTTATAATAAAAATGTTAATTTTATAACTAAAAAATTATAAAATAAATTTAAAGTTTTTCTTAAATTGACGTAAAGGGCTCTCCCACAATCCCCCACTCCTTCGCAGAAAAGGTCCTCACCAGTTCCGGACGAGGAAAATGAGACGCTAGTATTTAGTTACTTCACAATAAGGCCAATGTGAAATTTGTAAGTTTTCAAATGAGTTGTGAAGCGAAGTACGAATTTTCCTGAGGTAGTGGGTGTGGTCAATCACGTTTATAGGCCCATAAGTTCCTAATTCCAAAATTTAATCATAATCCTTCTGCTGAATATGTAGAAAATATAACTGACACTCAAAGGAAATATTTTGGTGAAAATCCAACCAGGTAAATGGAAATTTGCTTAGTCAGCAAGATGGATGCGGTCGGGGCATTTGCTGTAGCATGCATCTAAGTTCAAAGTTGAATAGTGAATACCAGTTATAATTGTTATGCTTTTTGTTACAGGCACAGCTTGAAAGGAGAACTGGATCCTGAGATACAAGATCTGCTTGCAAGAATGGCTGAGTCAGGTGACCAGCCTCTCCTGAAAACACGCACAGAAATATTCGTAGATGACCTGAAGTCCCTCAGTCAGTTCAGGGTAACGCCAGTTGCTACCTCCATACCGACATTTGCTCGTTTTATGATGAATGATGATTGAAATCGGTTATTACAGAGCTGTTTTGAACTTGTAAATGACAAATAGCTGATTCCTTAAATATGGCTGCAATTCTCACAACAAACTTTACATGAGATTGTATTACCTGTGCTCTATGTAACAACATATTGTTTATAGTAAAATGTTTAGCTGTACACCACATTTGCCTCAAAAACATTTTTGTTAATGAATATTGTATTTTTTATATAAAACTATGTCAAGTCTTTAGTGAGCTTACAATTTTACGACTAGCAATTTCATTATTGTACTAGTATAGGCTACCTTTACTAAAGTTTATCCTTATGATAGTTGGAACATGTTTACTCAGAAAGATTGATTTTGTTAGAGTAAATACAATTACTGGTATTTAACCCTCTGAGTGTTATTTGTCGCTGCAGCGACACATAACACATTATATTCTAAGCTTCTTTTCATTATATTCTAAGCTTTCTCTAGAGGTCTGTCTCAGCGCTGTATGTTCTCCGAGCCGATCGTAATTGTAGCAGACAGCTGACGTGCGTATTTGTAAATAGCTAGGTTACCCTCGGACCGATGACTGATGTGTTTTATTACGTTTATCATTGTTTTAGTGTTAAAAATCAAAAGTAGTGATATACGTGGTGCATTATAAGAAGATTTAAGTGATTTTGAAGGGCTGGTTGTTGATCCTGAAGAAGTAGGTAGTGATATTGATGTAAATTATCAGCCAGATTCCTAGCTATGGTTAGGCTATGGTTAGGCATTCTTAGCTAAACGCTATGTACTGAAATCTGTTTTTTGCCCATAACTTATTTATTTGCAAATCTACTTCCTTATATTATTATATATTTGTAATCCTCATAAAATTTAGAACAAAGTGGCTATTTTCAAATATTTATAGGCCTATAATTTATACAATTTCATTGAGCGCAAACTTATTTTTTTTTTGAAAATTTTCCAAAATATTTTCTTTTTTTACCTAAAAAAATTTTTGAAACAAATGTTCCTTATGTTCTATGTATAACATTGAAGCCCATGATTTTCCAAACAAAATGGTATATAGAACAGTATAATTAACATTGTTTTCAAGCTTCTCAGATCCGTTTTAATAAAACCTTGCAAATGAGCAAAAAATAGGCAGACATTAAGGCCAAAACAAGGGACACTCGGAGGGTTAAATACCTGTAAATACCTATACTAAAGTTTAACCTTAATACAGTCTAAACATGTTTTTGATTTGGTTAGTTTGTTAATGCATTACACTAGGGATGGACGAGATTGGATTTTTAGTTCGAGACGAGACGAGACGAGATTTTTTATTTCTCATAAAATTTCGAGACGAGATCGAGACGAGATTTCTCTTCTCATACACAACGGGAAATGCACGTTCGAAATTTTTACCTGATTTTGTAACATTGTTAGATGACTGTTTAAATACTAAAATAATGATAATAGGCAAGAATATTTACAATCTTTTATTAAATAACATCAGCATAACATTTTTTTATTAATCACGCCTAACTTATTAAAAATGCCTACGATTAGGAAACATGGTGATATCAGTTAGGATGGATTTCAACTTATCCTAAAATAAAATAAATCATAAAATAAAAGCAATATTAATTTTTATAAAATAGTTACTTGTTTTGACTTTTTTATAGTAATAAAACATTCCTCACACTGCTTACACTTAACAAAACTTCTCAAATGTTATTAAAGTAATATTATTAAAATAATGAAAGTAATATTTACATTAAAAGATTTAAAGTAATATTTACATTAAAAGAATTAATTAAATAAGAACGCCTTCGAAAAGGAAACGCAACTACAACACGCTCCTGTATTGCGGGTATTGCATTGACTTTCTGCAGGCGTTTTTAATTTTTTTTTTTTTTTTTTTTTTTTATTCTTGTCTTGATAAAAATCTCGGCCAAAAAGTAATCTCGTCTCGTGTAACGAGATTGAAAATTTCCCGAAAATTTCCCGAAATTTCGAGACTTGACCATCCCTACATTACACAATATTAGTATGCATACTAAAGTCCATCCTTAAGATGGTTTAAACATGTTTTGTATCCTATGTGGAAAGATTGATTTTGTTTGTTTTATGAGCACATTTTTTGTTATCTTTTATGGAGGGACCTGATCTCTCAACTAAATATTAAGTGTTTTATATTGTGCTTAATTGTTTTATTTTCAAATACCCTTTAATTTTATTCACTATTTAGCAAGCTTGTAAAGAATGTGTTGACTCCTTGTTAACTAACTCTGTAGAGCCAAGGGTTGAGGTTCACTTGTCTAAAGTTTATTCTTAGGACTAATTTTGCTTGAAGTAAAAAGAACTGTAAACCGACTTCCCCACTACCAACAAAAGGAGGAGGTTCTCAATTTGTTTGTGGCGATGTTTTTTTTTTCTATGTATGTTCACCAATTTCTCTGTGATTCTTTTACCGATCAGTGTGGTTCCACCACCAAAATAACCAGGAGAGTTTCTATTAGGTACCTTATATATTATGTTTAAGTATAATATTTGTTTCGGTGAAAAATTCTGAAAACCTTAAATATTCAACATTTATTTTGTTTACATTTGTGCAGATTGTTTACATTTGTGCAGAGAAGGCAATAAATAATAATAACATTCCTACAGCTGTTAGTTGGAACCATTTAAATGAAGCTACAGACAACTCTTCATGAAACAGTTGCTTCATATTGATCAATAAAATATTTCTTGCCATGGAGCCTAAATGAACTACATTGAGAAAAATGCATTTTGTTTTGGTTACTATAAAACATGTATTTTAACGTTTGACCTGATTTGTGTATACAGTAATTCTGTTTTTAGTATTGAATATTCTGACTTACAAAAACATGTTTCAGTGAATAGCTGTATGATATTGACAAATAAAGGTGTATTGTGAAAACCAAAGCATTCGTAAAACAGGTCTAAATATAAATTAAATGCAATTATTCCTTACACGACCTAAGAAGTGTGACAGCGCATGATCGTCAATTGTCTTAAAAGTGTTAAATATTTTAATTACTAAACATGCATTTGCAGGTGTGGAATGTTTATTGATATTTTCTACCCAGTTACTATATATCATATCAATAATATTATGCCTGCTTTGGAAAGACCTAGAGGAAGATGATTTGCAATCTCGACTAGGCTATATCTTGATCAAACAAAACCACCTACATGGCTTGCACCACTTTTAGCTGTTACTTACTTGTTACTTGTTACTTGTGGGTGTTCGCCTCCGCTGTCCTTAAGAAAGGGGGCTCGTCCGGATTTATTTCTTCACATCATTTTTGGTCATCAGTAGCCTCAAAGAAATCTTTTATTTTGTAGTAGGGTCTTGTTGAGAAGAAGTCTTTAAGTTTATTTTTAAAGCCGTTTGTGTTTTGAATATTTTTTAATTGATCTGGGAGATGGTTAAAAAATTTTAGTCCTATGTAGTTTGGATGGTTTTGAGATTTTTTAAGTCTATTGTATGGTAGGTCAAATTGTTGTTTTCTTCTTGTGTTATGGTCATGTATGTCTTCTCTTCTATTGTTGTTTGATGTTAGGGAATGGATGATGGTTTCGTAGATATAGATGGATATGACTGTTAAAATTTTATCGTTGATAAAGTATGGTTTGCAGTGTTCTTCATCTTGCAGATCATTAATTGCTCTTATAGATTTCTTCTGGACAGTTAGTATTTGGTCTAGGTAGATTTGCGGTGCCGCTCCCCAGGCTATAATGCCAAATCTTATGTGGGAAGAAATTAGAGCATGGTAAACCACAAGTGCGGTATTTTTCCCAGATATTCTTTTTATTCTCTTAAGGCCATAAAATGCTGAGGATAATTTATTTGTTAAATTTTCTACATGAGTTTTCCAGCTGAGGTTTTCATCAATTATTAGTCCTAGGAATTTGGTTTCTGATACTATTTCAATATTGGCGTTAGGCTTTTGGTTTGTTGTGTTTCTTGATGTAAAGTTTACTATTGCACTTTTTGTCTGGTTTATAGTGAGATTGAGTTTTTTGAAGTTGTCGCTTGCAGAAATTGTTGTTGCTTCAATTCGGTTTTCCAGTTCTTCTATATTTGATGCTGGAACAATGAGGGTTGTGTCATCGGCAAACATTTTATTGAACCAATCTTTGATATACATTTTTCATTTGCAGATGTGGAATTTTTATTAATATTCTCTACCCAGTTACTATAACATATCAATACTATTATGCCTGCTTCGGAAAGTCCTAGAGGAAGATGATCTGCAATTTCGACTAGGCTATATCTTGAGCAAACAAAACCCCCTACATGACTTACTCATATAATATTTTCCAAAGGTAGTATACGTGTTAACGACCAATTTTCCACTTTTGAGAGATTTTTTAGTGCTGGTAGCTGAGGAATAACATTCATATTGTTCCAAAAGGCTTGAGACGTTACTGTATTTCTTTTTATAATGTAGAAGTACACCGATTGCAGGAAACGATGATGTCTGACATTTCAATGTATCTAGGAAAGACAACTAGTTTTTCATTAGACCTAATGTAATGGACAACTCTTTCTTTCTTAAGGAATATCTAAAAATGTTTATTTTCATACCCATTGATTATGTATCCTGAACAGGTGACTCAAGCAGTTTTAAAATAATGATTGTTCTGTGGAACTTTTGATTGTTTCAAACAGTTTTGCTTACCAAAAAACCTCAAGTAATTAATATATAAAAATTATACAGTCACTAAAAATCACAAAATAATTTATTTTTGTAAAAAAATACAACCGACTTCAAACGCTCTAAAAAGAATGAAATAATTTCAATAAAGTAAACTTTTGTATTAGGCAAGCTCACGTATTTCAAGTCGGCGCTCAAACTGCAAATATGATTGAAATTAAATATTGTGTGTGTATTTTGAAAATCAATAAATTGTAGCTGGATAACATTAATATATAAAAAACACACTGAACTGTTTTGTTTATATATTAAAGGAAATATTTTCTTGTATTTTATGTTTACTTCAGAATAAATGCATTATGAAAATAACACACACAAATGTTCTATATGAATAGGAAAATAATTTAGTTCGATATTATGATAGGGAAAAGAAGCTAGTTTAGTATTAAAACGTTACTTTTCCAAGTTAGAAACATTTAAATGCGTTATAATCTTTTTAAAGATACTCGTTAATACCACTATAATGCCGATCTCTGATTACGGTAATAAAATAACACTTAACGCATAACTATGAAAAAGACATGCAGATTAACACCTTTAGTTATAGTCACCTGCAATATGGACACCCTCTTTCAATTTTGTATCAAAAATCATCATAGAGCCGCGCCGACTTAAAATACGTGAGCTTGCCTAATACAAAAGTTTACTTTATTGAAATTATTTCATTCTTTTTAGAGCGTTTGAAGTCGGTTGTATTTTTTTACAAAAATAAATTATCTCTTCATATTTTAAGTACCCTCATACCCTATACTTATTATTTATTTTTCTATTGATTGTTTTTAGTGTGTGCATAGTTCCCAAAGACAATTGGATTCATACTAAAATATTTGTATTAAAAGAGAAACATTTATTTCCCATTTAAATAACATTAGATTTACCGAGTTCTTAGGTTTGCTGTTATGGGGAAGGTTAAGTTATTAGTATAAGGTGAAATAAATAAATTTGCCAAATTTTATCAACATAATATCCAGAAACAAGCAAACTACAACAGTTTACTAATTTACAGTTTGTTAATTTCCATAGCCTAAATATAAAATGTGAATTTTTAATTTGTATTTTGTTAAATTTTCTATATAAATAATAATTGTGCAAAAAAACCTTCAATGTACCAAATGTACTAATTTGTTATCTTTTAAGTTATTCAAAGGGTTACGAGAAGTTGGTAAATTTTATGTTTTGAGGGTTAAAAACAGTAAAACCCAATTTCATCCTATAAAACCCCCATAAACTCTCCTGTTCACATTGACCATGGGACCCATCAACTGAACGATAGTTTGCCCCGAAGATGGTTAGCTGCTACACATCCGAAATCTAGTTGTACTAATTCAACGAGGCGGTCATCACCGGAAGACCAAGATTTGAAAATCTGCAGTAACCGAGGAAGCCTATCTTCTAGCGTAAATTAGCAATTCTATTCAAGTAAACCAACACAATCTTAAATGAAAGGTATCAGCATTCTGACACATACTTTCTCCCTTAAAGCTTGTCAACAACCTTTATCATGGATAAGAGGTGAGAGTAAATATGATATTTTATAGTTAAAAATCGCTATAGTTGCAATAACTTTTGAACGTTAATTGTTACAGCAAGAGGGTTGTAAAATTTTTTTTGATTATAGCCTAAGGTCCATAACATATTAATTTTGTTCAATACCAGCTTTTCTCAAAAAAATCCTTGTTTTGTTATTTTATGGGAAAATTACATGAGATGAGTTTCAATAACTTTTGAACTGTAATTTTTATGGAAATGGGGTCATGCCATTTTGTTCAGAAATTAAGGGCTACAATATACTAAATTTTTATCAAAATCGCTCCGGCTATTTTTGAGAAAATCCTATTTTTCCGTTAGTTTATGGGAAAATTAACATTAAAAATAAAAATTTCAAAATAATGAAAAAAATACCCCCGCCGCAGCAAACCTGCAGACTAAGCGAATTTCCATTTGCCTGAGGGATTTACAATTAAATGTCTCATTTTCTCCTATTTAAATAACATTAGTTTAACGAGTACTTAGGTTTGCTGCAACAGGGAGGGAAAAAAGGTAGTTTTTGTAAAATGTAATAGTTTAGTATGAAATGAATGCATTTTCAAAATTTGATCAAAATATGTTCATAAACAAGCAAACTACAACAGTTGACTTATTCTCCATAAGAATAACATGGGAATTTTAAATTTACAGAGTTTTTGAATTTTCTCCCACTGATTTGAGAAAGCAAAGTGGCCAATTCGCTCATCAGTGAGACAATGTTACATTGTCTCACTCCAGATTTGCAACGTGAAGGTACGAAATAGTGAGCGCGTAACATGCAGGCAACGTCGTATGCGCGCGAAATACGTTGGCAGCACTGGCTGTAAATCAGCTGTTGTACTGTTGTATTTGTCACTTCACATTAAATGTTATATTAAAAGTTCACTTCTGTGTAAAAATAGGTTATGTTTCTTCACAAATTTATTTGTTTTATGGTAACTGTAGGAAAAGTATAATGTGCAACTCGAGTTCAAAGTACAATTGCCTCACTCGAGAAACCATTCCTCACTCGCCCACGGCTTGTGAGTAAGGATTTCTCTCGAGTGAGTCAATTGCTCACTTTTCTCACTAGTTGCACAAATAACTATTGTTTTATAAGCTCTACAAAATGGTTTGGAAAGAAATTGCAAAATGTTAAGTTTTTAGGGTAAAAAATCGGAAAACCAATTATTACCCCATAAACCCCTGTTCCCATAGTCCGATCATTCTGGTTCGCGAACTCGTTAGAATAAACGTAGGTTTACACGATTGTACCAAATTTCATCAAAATCGGATCATTTTTGCTCGAGTTATCGCACTAACGGACACATATATAAATATATATATATGAATTTGAACGGATGGTGTTTTGGTCTCTAAGGGCCTCAAAACGAAAAAGAGTAAATCGGTTCTGGGTCCAGGTCCCAGGTCTTACCATTATTCATGAGCCTACTTAGGTTTTTTGCTGCAGGAAAGGTAAGATGTGTCCTTATAGGAAAGTAGCCATTACCGTTGGTGGTTGTGTGCGAGTGAACGTGATAACTCGAGTAATTTTTGTCTGATTTTGATTAAATTATGGCTTGAATGTGCAAGGCGGAATAAACTTGAATAAGTTTGCGAACCAAGCAAGATCCAGGTCAAGGAAACGGGGTACTATCAAGTACATGTACTGCAGTGGCGGATCCAAAGAGATGCTATAGCCCCCCCCTCCCTCTGTTTTATCTATGGTACCATGTAGGCTATCAATGATGAAAATAAACCTGGACAGCTTTATGTGGGAATGGGTAAGTCGGGAAAAATTTGTAGAAAACACTAAAAAATACTACACAGTTTCTGAAAAATGATAAAATATTTACAAGAAATCTTTATTATCGAAATGTTATGAACAGAGTGAGTATTCACATATCATTTACACGTTTTATTTGAGATTTTTAAACTTATAGAAAATTATGGGGATGCGGAATAGTATCCCCCGGAAAACTACCCCCCCAGGTTAAACGTGACGTCACAAAATCTGCTAACTAACCAATATGGAAGCCGTGTCCGCGACTGGAATACTACCCCCCCTTGACAAATCATGCTATGTAATTTTAATTTTAATTCGAGTAATTCCGTTGGATAATAGAAAAGGCATGTGGTGAATATAAAACAGATTTTCGAAATGTTACAGCAAGTTTGGTTGGTTAGGTTAGGTTATATTAGAACTGTTTGACAACTAAATTTGAGTGTCCGTGACTGGAAAACTGCCCCCCCCCGGTCTCTGACGTCAATATGACGTAGGAACCTGCTTGGGGGGGTAGTTTTCCGGGGGACAGTTCCGGCGACCCAAAATTATGACTGTTAATTATTGCTTTTGAAATAACTCCTGTAATACAAGTACTTGACAGTTGCTCGATTTCGAGCAATATATGTACACTAGTTCGATTACAATTTACATAAACAAGCAACTAGACCCATATATCGTTACAAAAACCATCTAATCACAAACAATAATAACTCAGTGATAGTGTCACAGGACATGAACCAGGGGCACAAAAAACGAGCTTTAAAATCTACAATGGGATAAGAATTCTACTCGTGTTTGTTAGTCTATAACACATATTATTATTCTGTGCAAAAATAACATGGGCTTTTTAAATTTAACTTTTTAAGAATTTTTCCATGCAGCCGTTTGGCATACAAAATTCATTTATATTTGCGTCTTAGTTATTAAGACCAACGGTTTTAGTGTCCCTACTTAAATGCTATAAGTCTGCATCATCAACTATGTCGTCAGCCAATCACATGACACTTTGTCAGCTGCTGCTGTCTGCTGCTCTTGTCGGCCATCCGTCCCGTCCGTCCCTGCTGAAAGAAAAAAAAAACAATAAATTTTCCTGCTGAAGGTGAATTATTTAGGTTTCTGTAAAGGAGACTTTGAATTTCTCGAATTATCCCTCAAATCCTAAGAATGAGTGGTGCTTTGAGAAGATTAGCTCTAAACAACTGTAAGTATAAGCTTAAATTGAATCCCTTAGCAGAAATGGTTACGGGTAAAGTTTACTTTGCAGATGTGCCAAGCTCGTGAAGCAAGGCCGCAAATGTAACTCTCATAAAAAATGTCGAGCGAAAATGCTAGCCTAGGTCTAGATTTTTTTATTTTTCACTGTTAGTTGTTAATATTCCAAATATCTGTGTTTCTAATTAGCTAGTTTCTACTAATGTGCACAGTGGCTTCAAGCCTAAATGTACAGGAATTTGGAGGTCTACCCAGACCATTCCCTACCCAAATCAAAGGAGCTATTAAATAAAACGGGCTTTCATAAGTCCTAAAATAGGTAAATTTTACCTATAGGACTTTTGAAAGCCTTAAAATTTAATATTCAGCTAATCTGTCTTGACCTTGATGATCAAACCAGCCTCACTTTTATCTTTACTCCAGCCAATCTATGACTAACTTACTAATTATAGCCTATGCAGCAAATGTTTGGTACAGTTTCTTAACTTGGCTACGCTAATATCGAATGAGGCTGCACTTTACTTTAGGCAATATTTTTGTATGCGTATTTTTTTAGGTCCTACACTCATTGGAATGAAAATAACGAATATTGTTCATTCGATACATCGTTTGGTTAGTTAGGTTAGGTTAACCTTACCTAACTAACCAAACAATATATCGAATGAAACAATCGATAGGCCTATATCGATCGATATTTTTATTCGAAAGAATGTAGGACCAAGTAAAGTGCAGCCTCGAATGAAACTAGCAATTGAAAATATCAATTAATAGTTGATATTTTTAACTAGATATCAATTCAAATGAAACTGTCATAACCTAACCGATCTTGCTGATGGTGAAAAAATCGAATGAAGGTTTACTAATTGAATCGATAGTTTCAATTGATATTAGAATAAGTTAAGTTAGCCCAGTTAAGTAACTGTACCCGTACCCTTACCTATGTTACTACTTACCTACAGTTTTCATGTTGAATCCAAAAACGTAAATAAGTTTAAGTTAATGTACCTCAGTTTTTGTTGGAATGAGTCTTAAAGTGTCAAAAAATAAAATAAAACCAAAGATAGATTATGAGGCCCTACATATTGTAAGGTCTATTTAGTGGTTTGTATGGTAATAACTTGTGGTGTTTTGGACTTGAGTCCGTATCTGGAGAGCGAATAGCTGTTTTAATACTCGATGCAAGTAAAGAAACTCACTACACGACTATGTGCAGGGGCGGCTCCAGGCCTGACAAGAATCATGAAAGAGTTTGATCGGGGGACAAGAGGTTTGAAGGGCTATTCTCGCAAAACGCTGGAATTTTAAAATTTCAATGCAAAATAATTATTTAGTTTGAATGCTTTCCCTTTATTTACTATAATTACATGTCTTTATTTAGGCCAAGTTATTTATAATTTTTAAATATCTACCAAATTTTTGGTAAGCTTGGACCTAAGTTAAGTTACCTGGCCTGCCCTCTGGAGCCATCCCTGACTATGTTCACAACTGAATTGTTTATAATGAATCATTTGGTTCAAAGTACCTCAAACAGATTCGTGACTATATTACGTGTTTTGGCATTAAGGTTAGATTAGGAAGGTATTTTTTTTTTTAAGAGGTTGGCAGCCTCTTTTAACTTTGCATTTGCCCGTCCACATAGACTAAGCGCCCGTGCGTGGATCGATTGCAGCAAAGCAAGGAGTGAGCCGGTACAGTACAAAGGTGAACTGTAGGCTACTGATAAAATCTTATCGGCAGTGACAAGGATCCGAACCCACGACATCGCTGCCTTGGGCCCAAAGTCCGCGACGCTACCGACTCACTACAACGTAACTTACTTTCAATACAATGGTTGAGTTTAGGTTCAATACAACATAACTTACTTAACCTAACCTAATAACTGATATAAAGTTATTGGTCCATAACAGTGGCAGAGGAGTGTGTTGAAGATATAGGCCTAATGAGCATGAGAACAATAATTTAGCCTTTCGTTCAAAATTTATATGCTGTCTCTAACTTAGTCTCCTAAAAAAATGTACCTATAAATATGAAATTATTTTAATGTAGGTTATAATTTGATTTCCTTTCCTGCAGTGATCTTAAATGCCAAGATTATCATTAGGCCTAATGTCCAGCATAAATTATCATCATTACAGTACAATGTGCTGCACAAACTTCAATTTATGGACTTGTAGTCAAGGGGCTGGTCTGTGCTTCCACTTTATTCTATTTAACTTAGTAGGCCTATATGTTTTTAGCCTGACAATGGGGGGCTTTAAATTTTAATATATCCACTGAAAAATATATAGGCTAACAAGTCTTACTACATCCTATACCCATATGTTGATTGTCTGACAAGGTATGTTTTAGCCCTACACAATATTATAAAAAATGAATACTAATACAGTAATAGTAATAGGTACCAATTGAGATGGAGAACCAACCTACATGGGTATTTCAAACCCTAATATGAGTCTAGGACAACTGTTTTGTTACTGACCTTAAGACCAGCTGTTGTTTTTTTTAAGAGGGCCAGGCCTATATATGTATAGCCTACCATGATTGCATCGCAGCTGAAAGAGATTATTGTGTACAGACCAACAGTTTCATTAGCCAGGACATTTGTTAAAAGCCATTTACAGAAAAAATATTGCTGTAACAAGCAGTTAATACAAATTCCTTACACCAGTGCCATTTCATCTGGTTCAACCCCTCCTTGAGGCATATACTACAGGCAAATTAACCGGAGCGGCTCTGCCCCTTAGTTTTTTAATTACCCGCGATTGTGGTAAAATCTCTCGAGATCACAGGGGACATCATCATCGTCACCCGCAATTGTGGAGAAATCGTGAAATCTCCTGCGATTACAGGAACATTCCGTGATCTGGAACATCTCCCGCGATCATGGGGACATTATTATCGTCACACACGATGGTGTCAAATTATATATTTTAGGAAATTACAATTTAATTTTTATTCCAAAAACATTTTTCTGTACAAGACGCTGTGGTCCCCTTTTGCTTGAGGCCCTAGGCCGTGGCCTAGTGATGAATCCGGCACTGTCTGCAAGGACAAACCTTGGCTTGCTTTCTCCTTCCAGTAAATTTTTACCAAAGTGCCCTTCGGTCTCTTCCACCAATATGTGTTCCCTGGAATGGGTTGTTGAGAATATCTATTAAGTTTAATAATGAGATTAGCCTAACCTAACCTTAAAATACTTGTTACAGTGGGCCGCAATGCCCGGAAGAGCTCAGACTATGCTATTGCCAACTTCAAGAAACCTACAATGGATGATCTGCCGGTGCCGAGTGGTTCATGGCAGGAGCACCACAGCCAGATGCAGGCCAAATACAACAGGCATCTGATCCTGGGCGTTGGCTTCTTCGCTGTCTCCTTGGTAGTGGTTAGTGTTTTGGCTTTTTTCACATAATTTGTATTAAGAAAAATGGCCAATCATCAAACACTCAGTCATAGCAAATTAAATGTTACTTTTAGTTGATAATTTTTTTATTTTTTTTCCATATTGATATTGGTCTATGTTTACACCATTACACGATGTCAAAATTTCTCTCAAGTTGAATAATTTAACTTAGACCAAAGACACAACATTACAACAATAATTAATTGCTTGCTTCAGTTGCTGGTCCATCTCTTCAATTACTGGTCATTATAACATAACATTTTCTTAGTTATGACTTTAAAACATTCACTGGCAATATTGTTGTTGAAATTTGTCCAGCAATTGCTTTTACAGTTAGGCCTGTGTATAAAGTCCTTTTCTCAAATTTGGTTGATTTGTTGAAAGATTGTTGGGATTTCCATTTGTAGTGTTGTTTTTTTTTAACCGCTCAAAATTGTTCTTATTTTTGTCTGAGGAAATAGTTTAAAACTTGAAAACAGACACAAGTTAAATTTTATTCTAGATTTCTCTTTGTTAAGGTTTTTTAGAAAGACCTGGACCCGGGATCGATTTACTTTTTCGTTTCGAGGTCCCCAGAAACCAAAAACACCATCCGTTCAAATTCATTCATTTATGTGTCAGTTAGCGCGATAACTCAAGGAAAAATGATCAGATTTTGATGAAATTTGGTACAAACGTGTAAAACTAAATTTATTCTTAACGCGTTGGGGAACCAGTATGATCGGACTATGGGAACAGTGGTTTTTGAGACAAACCTTGTGGTTTTTAACAAATTAAAAACATAAAATTTCACAATTTCATAATTTAGTAATTTATTTCTTAACAATTTTTTAGCGCTTAAAACCAGAAATAATTTAGTAGCCTATAATGAAGCGTTGTTATACCCGGACGGGTATGGTAAAAATGCAAAATTGAGTAATTTTAAAATTCCTATGTTATTCTTATGGAGAATAAATAAACTGTTGTAGTTTGCTTGTTTACGGATATATTTTCACAAAATGTGTCAATTTTTTCATTTCATACTAAGATATCAGACGTTTTAATAAAAAACACACCTTCCCTGGTGTAGCAAACCTCATTAAAATAAATGTTAGGCTATATAAATAGGAAATAAATCTGACAACGCTAATGGAATATTTTTGTGGAAACCTAGTAAATGGAAGTTTGCTTAGTCTGCAGGAAATATTGTTTATTATTTGTTGTTTTTCAGGCCAAATCCTCTGGGTTGATCAACATGAACTGGAATCCACCCCCGTTCCCTGTCAAGGAATAAATCAAACAAAACATTAAGTGCTAGTGATTCATTAAATTACATGTTATTATTGTAAAATAAAAGTAAGACAAGTTAGATGATTGTGTTCATCCATCCCTATTATTTTGTATTAGGTGGTTGAAAATGTTCAACGGGCGCAGGACCCTTTTGAAACCACAACTCGTAAGGAGTTTTACCATCAACAGATGCTCCAGTGTGGTTGATAACATGACAGGCAGTGTTCATGGCTGTCATAGTATGTTCAATTATGTGTGTAATTATACATAGGAATGAAAGTTTTTTAGTCTGTAGTGATTTATATTTGGTTAGTTGATGGGTTACAGTGTTGCAATATGAGAAGACGGTTGTCTTATCTTGGGGTTTTAATCAAATTCTTAAATTGTTTCCAGAAATATTTTGAGGAAAACATTAGTTAAAAGGAGGATGGTATATTTCATCACTGGGGTCTGAAGTTACTATTTTCCACCCGAGTTCGTCAGTCGGAAAATGAGCGAGGGCGAAAAGACACTTTTTGGCCGTATGAAAACTATATTTTTTTATGTCATTTGAACGAACTATGTAACAAAACTAAAATATTGTTTTTATTTAAAGATATAAAACTACTTTTAACTTGTTTTCATTTTAATTTTCTAATGGAAACATCAGCTTTTTAGTAAGTGATTCAATCGTTTCGTCTATTATGATTGTGTTGGTGTACATTATACTATTGATATTTTGTCAAACTATTTACAATAAGCTACAATCGATACATGCTTTCGATACATTAGATTGCAGCTGATTTTACTCCCTAGAGAGTAAAAAATGCTACTTTGACCCGCAACGAATGCATTAAAAACGACTATTTTTCCAACAGTATGAAAAAAAAATGACTTTTTTTAGACCATCTAAAAAAACGAATTAAAAATAAAATGGTGAAAACTGGCTTAGTTGAACTAATAGAATTTATTATTTAAATTCTTTTAATCCATTGCTATCTTGGAAGCACTCTAGGCAATAAACTAATCTCATACTGTATGGTATATATAGATTCCCCTTAGCGGTACCATAGACAAATAGAATTAAATATAGACAGACAGCAGTGCTGCGGTTAGCATAAGTTCTGGCGTCCACCGGCATCAAGTAGTTACGTAGCGTGTGCGCCTTAACTCCACGGCACTCCCAGCGGTGGAAGCCAGAACTTGTGCTAACTGTAGCACTGCTGTTGGTCTATATTTAATTCTATTTGTCCATGACGGTACTAATCAAAATGAAATCTCAGCCAGATTCATCCTTTGGAAACAACATTTAGTCCGTATTCAACAATTGTTTAGTTGCTAGAAAGCGTTTGTATATAGGAAGTAATATACACAATTAATATTTAAATAATGTTTTTGTTTATTATTTACAAAAATATATTTTCCTTTGTTATTAATTGGGACACTAAATAACAAGATAGAATTAGGTTATATACATAGGCCTACTATTAAACTTTACATAGAATAATACAAAAGCACTTTTAGTACTTATTTGCATGAAAAACTAACCTGACGTGATAAAGCAAAAGCCTTTGGTTAAGTTTGGGAAACAGCAAACAGATTAAACTAGACGTTTTCTTTTCTTACTGTAACTTTGCACTAAATTATATACTTTCCTTAACAAATGAAGATGATTAACCTTTATATAAAACACTATGTGAGACTTATATACTCAGTTGATAAGATCTAACCAACAACAAATGGGCTAAGATTCCAGATTGCAAAATGTGAAACATTGGTTAGCAATGAAAAATAGGATCAATAAACTCAACTCACATCACCAATGATGAACTTCAATCAAATTAATGAGATCACAGATGTACAAAACTAAAATTATATTTCACTGTTTCTTTGTAGCAATAAAATTAACCTAGGTGTTGGAATACTAAAGCTTTTAAATTCAGAACACCCACAATCCTAGTGGGACCGAGCAATTTCTGAGAAGAACTGAAGAATTTCTTCAATGGAAAAGTCCAGAGTGATCATAGAGCCTGGATAGCATCTCTGTATTAGATCTTCAATGTACTTGTATTGCTTAATAAACTCTTCTTGCATCTCTCTCCATACCACCTACAACACAAGGATTCGACCATACAGGTAAGAAAGAGTACATTGAAGAAGTGCAGCAGTATTATGAGGTCCTGTGTGGTCTACGTAATGGAATATCTTTTATGCCGCACTTCACAGTTTAGTTTCTAGTCTCTTTGTAAACAAGGCATCGTTTATTGAAATAGGATTATGAAATCAGCTTGAGTTAGTAAATTTACCGAGCACTCTCCAAGCTACTTTAAAAAGTGATGATATGAGTTTCTTCAGTTGGCCCTCAAAGAAGCTACCCAATAAATATTAGACAGGTTGGTATAGGCACAGTGTACTTCACAATATCCAAAGAAAACACTAAACTTTTTATCCAGTTTAAGTTTTACTATAGTTTTTGAGTTTAATTTACTTAATTAAACTTAAATCTACTTTCATCCTTGACCTTGACATTTAAAGGTACTGTACAATGTTTTTATTATACTCATTGATGTTGTTTGCCCCTGAGCTGGTAAGACAAACTTAGAGTGGTTCAATTGCCTTTTAGCATTTTCCATAGGGATAGGCCCTTTGGCTGTTAATACAATTTCATTATCCAATAGTCAATGCTATTACCGTAGGTCTCATGCATGGTTGGGAAAATTAGTCAAGAATTCTAACTTAGAAGTTATTAGATAGTCCCGTAAAAAGTAACTGATAGAATTTAATAGTTAGTTGGCTAAAAACTATCTGATAAAACATAATGTTAGTTTTAGAGAAGTTTGCTGTTAGTTGTTATTGTTGAGTTGTTTTAAAGGATTTCGTATTAAATTAAATGTATTTCGTCACCAGCATGTTAAAGGCCCATGTTAATTTTTTAAAATTTAAAATTCATTTTTGTGCTTATTTTTGATCCTATTGTAATTTATAAAGGGATTCTGCTCATCTACAGAAAAATATCTTTTATTACAGTATGCGTAGGTTTTCTCTGCCATGCACACGACCTGAGAAAGGTTTGAAAGAATCATGCTTGCCTATTAATATATAGATATGGACATAGATAGACATCCAAGCAACCGACTATCATTACAATAAAATAAATGTTGACACAGGACCTACGTGACCATTACAAGTATGATTGATACTATACAACTATTTTTAGCTAGGACGAAAATAAAAGGTTATTTAACCACTATAAAATGTTTTTTATTACTTTACATGATATCTGATCTTTCCGCTTATCCAGTCCTGCTGTAGGGCTGGTTTAGGTCCCTGATGTGGATTAGAAGTTTTCGTGATGGTGATTATGATGTATAAACACTGGATCTTACCTGGAGAAGATTTTCCTCTTCACAAAGGTGTTTTTCTACTTTTTTGTACAGATGGTCTAATCCTTTCTTCACTTCTCTGCCGGGGTATTCGCGAATGACCTTGCGCAACTCTGGTTTACTGAATGCCATTTGATAGCTGATCTCCGACTCTTTCACACCTTGCGCTACTTTAGCTTGAACCCCATCAAAGAATTGCTGAAAAAAACAATATATAAATATTAGATCCTGATCCTAGAAATCTTTTTTGAAGCGCAAAATTTCCTTAACTCAAATAATAATTTATTGTTATTAGAGGAAGAGTATACAACAATAATTTTTGTGTTTGGTACTAATAGAAAACTGCAGCTAAAATTAAATTAAATAGGCTACAGTAATTTGGGATTTAAATTTATGCAGCATTAGGATATGATTTTTTAAGGTGTAAAAATTCTTTAACTAACTAGGAATGCATCCCTTTATTGCAAAAAATTGAAAGATATTTAGACACCTTAGGGCCAGTAGAAGATGTGAAGTCAAATATTTTGTTAGATAAGATAACAGTGTGAAGGTTGCAGCATTCTGTGGTAATCAGGAGATTTCTAGTAATGCTCGATTTAAAAAGAAAAAACGTGGTTTGATAAAGATTGCAATAAAAGTGGAAATAAAGTTTTAAAATGCTTCATTTTTGAAAAATGAATACTTAGTTTTTGTACTGCTTACTCAAATAAAATGAATACTTAGCAAATAAGCAGTACAAACATTTGCCACCAGTAAAAAGATTGGACTATGAAAGAAATAAAGAAATGTGCTGCAAAAAGTAAAGATGGCTAGTAATAAGAGTGATTTTTGGAAAGCAGTAGGCCTTGATCATAAAAAAAAAAAAATCATCTTGTGGGAGCAAATTATTTATTTAGTTATTGTTGAGGATTGGGTCCGGCACTTAAAAATGTTGCTTGATCCCCCATTGGAAGCTACGAAATTTTTATTTACTGAATCTCTAATAGTTGATCAGTTTATAGATAAAGACATTAGTTTCTCAGAAGTTAATCGAGCAATTCAGGCTACTAAGGTAATTTAAGCCCCTGGTTTCAACCTTATCCTGTACACGAGTTTTTTTTTTTTTTTTTTTTTAATTCGGGCTTAAAAGGCTCACAGATCTTTTAGTTCAATTTCATACACAATCTTCATACATGAGAGGTTTCAGAAAGTTTGTTGAAGAAGTCCTCCATCCACTCCATAAAAAAGGGAATATTGGGAGAGGTATCTCATTATCGAGGAATTTTTTTTATGGCTAAGTTGTTTGGGTAGTATTGAACCGGTTGGAATTGTGGGTTACAGAAAAAAACATTTTGTGTGGGTACCAATGGTTAGCTAATGAAGTTATAAGAAAACGGGTATTTTGGTATAGGGAGTGGATGAATTTAGAAGAAAGTTTATCAGTTCACTTTTAGTAGAACAAAATTATATTAAATAATTTCTTGATCAGCATCGTACATGTTATTAAATTACGTGAAAGTACAAATATATGTCAAATAACACTAACTTGTAATAATACATTTCCACTTATAATGTTTACTCACAAGACGATAATACATATAAAAGATGGTAAGTGGTGATCAATTTCGATTGGACACTCCAATCATCATCAGACCCAATAATTCACTTAGTTTGCAGGTTTACTGCGGCGGGGGTATTCTGTTATACAATGTAAGTATTAAAGTTTTCAAAATGTGGTTTAAAAATTTTTTTGACTATAGGCCTAGCCTAACTAAAGGTGTACCAGTAATCCTAATAAGCTAACTCAGATTGATAACACTATAATACACTGATATACTCACATTCAACTTTTCCAGAGGCCGTCCGAAATACCTAGTCACATAAGCTTTCAGAGCATCATTGTATTTCTGTTTTGCGTCTTTTTTCTGTTGATCAAGAACTGCTATTTTCAGTTGTGATAATAAAGAGAACATGTGGTGGAAGTTTTCTGAAAGGTATGACATGAAATCAGAATGAGTTCTATTAATTAATTCTATAACTATTTGCAATGGCTCCAAACCAGAACAGAAACTATACACAAAAAACACAACCTGCCAGTGAATTTAATTGAGTTTTTCAACCCACTATATAAATGTTTTAGTTAGCAAATAAGAATATATTCTTCCTAAACTTACATTTTCATTTTAAATCCCTGCAAATATCAATTATATAGATTCAATCTACTTGGGTCTACTACCTCATGACCTATTGATGACTGAGGCTAGTTTCCTAGAATTTCAAACTAGGAAAGTACTAAGCTTAAGACATTAACAATTGTTTCCTGAACAACCCTGTAGTAAACACCTGAACTCGCTGAGATTTTAACATATTTTATGCTAAATGAAAAGTTACAGTATGGCATGGGTGTGGAGCTTGAGTGATTCAGATCAAATTAAAATTAAATTACACCATGATAAAAACCACAAACATGCAAATTTAAGGTTAAAACAGTTAAAAAATTTAAAATACAAACAAATTTTCAGTATGTACAATCACTCACCCATTTTGATGACTTCAGAAGGAGTTTTGTGATGGTCGTTGGCGATGGCAGGGATGACTTCAAACATTGCTGAAACCAACTTGATATACCACTTGTCTAGGTCGGCTCTGCGCTCTGTGTCTTTGAAGATCATTTCTGCCGTGTTTGCAAATTCCTACACACACAAATTTAACATAAGAAAGCCTTGTATTTGAATGATTTACAGCATAAAGTTGGATTGTCCCAGGTGGAGAAGTGGAACGTGGAGAGATGACTGGTCATATGTAATTTTAATGGTACTGTATTCCTAAAAGCATAGCGAATAGGAGCTGAACGAGCAGACAAATTTTTTGATGGAGTGGCTAGACATATATACAAGGTGTGTGTGGTTTTATTCAATTGTGTCATGTCATATCCAATGAAATTGGACAATTGGTATTGTGTTTCAGTTACAAACCTGCAATTTTAGTTATTATACGTCTTGCGTTCTTGGTACACATTATAGAATTTATTTTTGGTCAATTGAAAATACTGTTTGTCGTCAATTAAATAGTTGGTTATAAGAATTTTATACACTCCCTAATTTTTGCATGTTTTTAATGTGCCACTTGTACATTTTCAACACCTTACTAGGTGAAGCAGCCCATACACAAACATGGGAGTATTTCCCCTGTTACTCTTCCAAGTGTGTAATAAAACACACGTCCCTAATACTACCAGTACAATTGATCAATTGCTGCACTTCGTAAAAGTGCAAGCCTTCGTCTAGAAAATGAGGATTAGACTAAAATAAATTATACAATCAAAAGTAAAAACTAACCTCAAAATTAGCCACAAAGGGAAGTATGCCACATTTGCTCTTGCGGTTGACCTTTGCCTCCTGAATGGATCGCAGTTGTGCCTGCATGTAGCGGTCGTAGTTGCGCTTGACTTGCACCAGCACTGAGCCGAACGTCATGCTGAGGAACGAGCCGGTGTCCTGCGCGGACATGACGTGCTGGCTGAACCTGACCAATGCGTACATGCAGTAGCTGTACAAACAAGATCAAACATGTTGTAATGAACATTCAGTTTTTGGAAGAGGTTTCTATCCTGGAAGTTAGTTTACATTTTTACCCAAATCTCTAAAAATGTCAATAATTTTTTATCGTTCAAATTATATTTAAAAGAAAAACAATTTGAAATAATAGATTTTGCATCTATGCCTATTAGTGATATTCACCAAGATATTGTTTTTGTTTGAACTACACACAATATATTGTCTTGCATGCTATCCCTACTGGCCTAAAATTATGGATACATCTTCATAAAATGTTGCCTTTTTCTTAATTCAACTGTAGACAAAACGTCTTTTTTAATTACTTACTGAGTACTGACACAGCATGATGACTTAAACGTAACCATAAATTTGGAAATTATTTGTAAATAATGCTACAAATAAAGCAACTGCAAATTACTTTAGTTTACAACTTTGCTGTGGTGGGGGTATTTTAATACTAAGGATACAGCTTGTTTATTTGCAAGCCGTTCATTGTAAGAAGAAATTTCACTGTTCACGCTTAGTGAAACTGAACAAATGCTATAGGCCTACAAGTGGTTATAATTATAATGTGCTAAAACTATATACAGGGTGAATAAAAAGTCAAGACACCCCCATCTAATATTTTCTAAGTAAATATACAAAGATATCCTTTTGGTTTTCATGCAAACTTATCAAAAAGTTTTATTTTAAGATTTAGAAAAATAGAGGCAAATATTTTCATTCATAGTCCAAGAATGAAAATCTGATAATTCAATGTATGGTTTACAATTCTTCCAGGTTTGTTTGTTTTTAATGGGTTTGTTTGTTTTTATTTCCAGAGTCGGCCTTTGGTAGTGCAAACATGTCACTTCAATTTTGAGAATGTACCCAACAGGGGAATGTACCTGGCCCTGTGCAAACATTCAAAGCGGGGCTCATGTTCATAGGATGATAAATTTCTGCCATCGCGGCAACATCCGTCATCATCCCTCACGTTCACGGCAGCAATTGTGATGATTTTACAATCGCAGCAACTAGTGAGAGTAGGTCAACGAGCGAGTATATTGTTTTGATCATGATCAGTGATCGTGATCTTTTATTTGACATGACAAGACAAAAATACGGCAAACGGTGTACATTGGGGACTATTCAAAAACAAAATTTGCCAAGACTTTTCTGTTTGTATTTAGTCGAAGCGCGGGGCTCCCCAAGGTATAGTGAAAGGGGGGGGGGGATTGTAGCTGCCCTTTTTGCAAACGCTTAAAGCTGGCTCTGCCGATGACAGAGCCATTTTCAGGTTTGATAAGATAAAAATCACATCACCTTAACGATTTCCCTAGGTTTACTTTTATTTACAAAATGTTAATCTTACTAATATTATAAATGTGAAAGTTTGTGTGTTTGTGTGTTTGAAGTTCAATCACGCATTAACTAAGATAAAAATCACATCACTTTAACGATTTCCCTAGGTTTAGTTTTATTTACAAAATGTTAATCTTACTAATATTATAAATGTGAAAGTTTGTGTGTTTGTTTGTTTGAAGTTCAATCACGCATTAACTACTGGACGGATTGGGCTGAAATTTGGCATGATGATAGCTCACATTCCCGATTAACATATAGGCATATTCTTATCTCAAAAATCCTTTCAGGCTCCGCCCCAGGGGCTCTGTGGTTCCCCATGTTAACCTTATGAGTTTTCATATTTAAAGGGAATTAAAGTATTTTGTTAGCTGATTCAACTAAAAAGTTGGTTCTATGATATGGAAAAGCATTAAAAGGTTATAAGATTTACCAACAGGGTGCAGCACTATATTTTTTTCCATTTATGAAAACAGCAAAGTTAATTTGAACTAAGCAGCAACAAAAAAACTGCGATTCACAATGAGAACTGTCAAAGTAGGATTGTTTACAGTTGTTTATGTTTTTAATTTCATGAACAATTTGTGATATTTTGCGAATTTTTTATAAATAATTTTTCTTTATTGTTTAGGTGAAATGGTAGAACATTATGGCTATGGTAGATGTGTAATACTATAGTATACCGTTAATTTAAAGAAGCAAATTTTATCAAACTGTGTCCGCCCCATTGAAAATGCAACGCTTGAGTATAACTGCAATAAGCATTTTATACTTATATGCCAACCCCGTACGAAGGACGGTTACTCTGCTAGTTGCTATATAAAATAGAGTCAGTCAGTTTGTATGTCCTTTATGCATTGCCAAACCATTTATCCAATCACCGTGAAACTTGAGCAAGTGTTCTGTTGAAAATGGTGTGGATACCATCAGAAGTCTATAATACCATCACCAAATAGTTCTTTATGGACCTTGAAAGGTTTCTACAATATTCCCGATCTTAAAATATCTTAGATCTCTGCCTTCTAGGCTTAAAATTTCCACATTAACCCTTTGATTAACAAGTGTTACTGTGATTGTTGTTATGCAGTAACTAACAAACTACTCTTTTGTTTTTGGCATTCTAACTCTGATGCTAAAGACAGCCAAAGCCAAGTTCTATACAATTTTCCCTATCTTACAATTTTAAGTAAAATATATCTCAAGCACAATGAAGAAAAAACACAATTACCAAGAACACCACAAATTGAATAAAAATCATAAATTGAAAATTGAAGAAAACACCACAAACCTGTCTGCACAAAAAGCCCCTTACATTGCAAAGCAAAACCGACTGTGTCAAAAACATAAAATAATACTTACGACTGATAATGCCTGTTAATGGGCGTATCACTGGTGCAATATTTTTGTTTGTCATGCCTTCAACATTCAATACATGCTTTAATTATAAATGAAAACATGCAAATGTATAATACACGGTGGAAAAAATAATACAATTTAATTTTAAACTCATTAAAGGTTCATACAAAATCAAACAAACATATAATGCTTCTTTAAAATAAGCTATAGTAAAAACATAACTACTAATTATTATGTAATTTACTTTTTATCAAAATCAGTGATACAGTCTAACATGTTAGTAAACTACAGATTGATGTAGGTTAATATTCATGTCTTTTCAAGCAAACAATAAAATACATAGGCTACAACCATTTTGATAAAAACCAGTTAGAATATAACTCAAATTATTAAAAAGTAGCAGGTCATCGGTCTATTTAAGTCTTAGACAGATCGGTTGGCAAAATAAATAAATAAATCTTATTGGAGTGACAGATTAAAAAAATTATAACTTGAAAAATCCTGACCGATTTTATAAGCTAGGCTTAAATTCTTTGACTAAGTCCAAATTAATAATTTGGTGTTCTTTGAGCATTAAATTAAGTCTATCATTGATTTTCTATGGTAAATTTTTGATTAAAATTGTAAATAAACAAGAATACTACATTACATGCACATGCAGAGTGCTTTTAAGAATCACCACCACCTTACTACTTTAAACACATAACCTTTATAGCTCAATAACAGTCATGTTTTAACTATTTGTATATAAATAACAAGTAGGCTTAAAAATCAATAACCATAATGATTGCAGAATAAGTTAAAGTTGTTTGGCCTGGACCTAGAGTTTGCCCCTTCCTAACAAACACAAAGGTAAACAAGTATTTAAAAATTAATTCTGACATTTTGATGGCCACTTAATTTGTTTCAGGTTGACCAAATTTAGATAGTGAGCAATTGAAAATGCTAATTGAAAACAAAATTATTGTATGGCTTATTGAGATGGGATAGTATACAGAAATAGTTAGTGAGTCGGTGGCTCAGTCGGTAGCGCCAAAGACTTCAGGCCCAAGGTAGCGAAGTTATGGTTTGTATCCTGGTACCTGCCACTACCTACTTTTTATCAGTCAGTTTACACTCGTACTGTACTGGCTCACTCCTTGCTTTGCTGGATACGTTCCAAGCACAGGCACGAGGCCTATGTGGACAAGCAAATGCAAGGTTAAGAGAAACTTTATATTTTAACTTGATTTGTTGGCCTAATCAAGAGATAGGTTTGGAACCACTGGGTCCAATATCAGATGGTGTTATTTACTCCAATTTAGACAAAGTACTTACAATCTAATCGAGTATGCAAAAAACAAAAACAAAATATCTGAACTGTACTTTCAAATTAAATTACAATATATTAGGGTTACATATAAACAAAATAAATGTAAAACAAAATAGGAATAAGGATGCTAACTGATTGACTCACACTATACTTGAATTCCCCCAAAAAAGGATGTTTGCCATACTTAATGGTTTACGCTTAAATGATTTCCAATGCATAAACTATTCCTAAAATGGCGAAAACAATAATACAAATTGTTTCAAAACTAAATCATAATCATTCAATCTACGTGGTTTCACCTTGAGTTAGTGAAGTTTTACACACAACAGTGCTTTACGACTCACATGTTATCCAGTTTCTCGTGGTAGTTTATGAAGTTTACGAGTTCCGGCTCGATGCAACCAAAGATGTCTCCCATCATGCGGCGGACCTCATCATTCACTTGCTTCTCTATCCTTTTCTGAGGTAAAGATACAGAAGTGGAGTCAGGTCTGGTGTCAACCGACAATCCATCCAGAGTTGTCTGTGTGTTCTGACAAAACAAAGTAAATGTAAATTTGTCAATGTTTAGATGTATATTTTATTTTCACTTTGTGTCTGTCATTGCAAATAGTATTTTCAGTATGGTAGGAGTTCAAACCCTGATACAATTTTGAAACTAGAGGATTGATCAATAACTTTGTAATAATATAATCTTATAATATAACAGTATAATGAAAAGAGAAATTTTAATTTTCATTCTAGGTTTGTTGTTGAATTTATAACTATTTTCTCATCTTCATCTATTTTTTTATAATTGGGTAATCAATAACGATGCTGTCTAGCAAAATGCTTTATAACAGTGATTGAAGTCCAGAGTTTGGGTTGTTATTACAAAATGTGACATTCAGGCCCAGTTTTATGGAATTATGTTACTAACAGTAAAATTTTCAGATTTTAAGATGCTCAGTATTCAAGCTACAGCAATGGTTTGTCTCAAAGGGGGACGCAACGGCACTCAAAGGTAAAGATAAAATATTCATTAAATGATAAAAAATAATATGTAACAGTTCAAAATATTAACAATTCATAATAAACAATTAAAAAACAATTTATCAGTGAAAAAACTAAGGAGTATAGTTAAAATGAACAAAAATAATTAAAAAAACAAGTTTAGAAAATAATGTAAAAAATATAAAAATACTAAAAGAAAAGATGTGGTTAGGTTACTATAGAATAATTAATTATTAAAACTCATTTTAAGTAAACTCAACCAAAAACTATTTATTTACAAAAACTAAACAAATAATGTAAACAACCCAAATAGCAGATGATTCATACTTCATAATAGTCTAGTTGCCAAAAGGCATTTTTCACCCAAACCTGGAAGTAAGGTCCACCCGATGTTTTTTAGTGTTTTCTGTTTCTTTAAGACCTACATAATTAAAATCTGCAGGGTGCCACTTTGTCACCCTTGAGCAAATTTAAATATTCAAAATGGCGGCCAAGATGGCTTAAAACTGTATATTTGCTGTATCTTTCCCTATAGAAGAGACAGGATAATAATTTTTGTGTCTAATTTTATGTTTTAAGGGTCAGAGAATACCAATAATTGATTATCTTAGTAATAAAATACCCCCGCCACAGCAAACCTGCCAACTAAACGAATTTCCAGTTGCCTGAATTGATTTTCATTTAAATGTATTTAATTAACATTAATTTTTATGAGTACATAGGCTTGCTGCTACAGGGAGGGTAAAAAAGTGTGTTTTTAGTGAAATATTAATAACTTAGTATAAAGTAAATAAATTTACCAAGTTTGATCAAAATATATCCATAAACAAGCAGACTACAACATGTTACAATATTCCCCATAAGAATAACATGTGAATTTTAAAATAAAAATTATTTGAATTTTCTCCGTAACTAATAATGGTACAAAAACACTTTGATATACTAAATTATTTGTTTTTTCAAGCTCTTTAAGAAGGTCTGAAGAGAAATTGGAAAATTTTGTGTTTAGAGGGTCAAAAATTAGAAAAACCAATATTTACCCCATAAAACCCCGCGTAAAACCCCGTTCCCATGGTCCGATCATGCTGGTTCGCGAACTCATTCAAGTTTATACCGCCTTACACCTTCAAACCAAATTTCATCAAAATTGTATAAAAATTACTCAAGTTATCGTGTTCACGGACACATATATGTAATTGTCTATTATGAAAAATTGAATTTTGGTATGTTTCAAAACCCCTACTTTTTCAGTATTCTCATGCTCGGATTTTGTCAGATTTTTTTTATACATTGCCCTATATGTATGAATGTATGATTCCAAAATATGTCTTAAATGTTCTCAAAGCAATTTTTCCCACCTCAAAGTGTATTTCAAGCGGTCTAGGATATATTAGTGTGTAGCACGGCTAGCGTTCCAAGTTGAAGACTAATAACAATATATCCCATAATATATCTTCAAAGCAATATACAAACTGATATGAGGTTGATAACTGTTCAAAATATTATGCAGATTATTTTAAGAGCCACAAAATATGAATTTTCTTATCACCTGAGTTTGTATTTGTAAACATTTAAAGGTTTTACAAAAAAATTCTTCAAAATTTGGTATTGTTTCTATTTAAAGCTGTCTCTTTTATATAAATAAATATTGAAATCGTATAAAGTTATTATTATCTTAAAGTAAACTTGATGAGGAAGCTATTAAGACAAACCGCAGATTGTTAAGACGATTAGTTGTCAAATTATTGATATTTTACTAAAAGCTTACATAAATCCAATATGGCGGAAGTTTTTTCAAAAATGGCGGCTTTCCGCCACTTGGATTTTTCTTGATTTTTAGTATAATATTCTTGACACCTTTGTTGACAAAATCCCATATATTTTGGAATATATGGGGACGAATATGGGGAAGAAATATATTTTATTTCTTTTACCTTAAGTTTGATGTTGGACCGTATTTTGACTAGCCTAAAGAACAGTGTTTTTTCTTAATTCAAGAAAACTATAATTTAAAAAGCAGTTGATAAAGTCATTCACAGTTCCCGAAGAAGGATAATGCACTGTCCACAGTACAGCACAAGCATCAATTAGGAGAACTGCTTGTAAGTTAACTAATTTGATGACTGTGTTCTGTTTGAATGTTGCACTTATCCTCAGAATCCATAGATTTATATTGTTTTAAGTCAAGTAAATACTTGAAAACATTGTTGATAAGGTAACTTGGCAACAAATAAATGTGGAAATTATTAAAAACTTATATTGATTTATTATTTTGGGTAATTTTCCAATTAAAACATCAAACTAGGCACAAAATGATTATCCTGTCTCTTCTCTAGGGAAAGATACAGCAGATATACAGGGTTAGTAAAAAGTGAGGAGACCCGCTGTTATTTTTTTAATGGCCCATACTAGAAAAACTTAACTCGGCACACCTTTATGACATGTTATGAAGTACTTTTTGGGCATAACCGTCACTTGGTGTAAATCCCCAAAATGGGGATTTTGGGGGAAACTCAAAAATTTCAAACACAAAGACCCATCATGTGACCCCTCATTTTGAAGGACCTGGTAAAAGAAAACTAACAACGCAAACTAGAGGTTTCTATCCCAATCCAGTAAAAAATGGAAGCTGATTGAAATCTTTAGAAATCGGAAATAACTTGCAATTTTATATTCAATTGGCTGCCATATTTTACTGTGCTAAGATATAGACCTATAGTTTGCGTTGTTAGTTTTCTTTTATTATGACCTTCAAAATGAGGGGTCAATCGATGGGGCTTACCATTTAAAATTTTTGAGTTTCCCCCAAAATCCCCCATTTTGGGATTGGGAACGTATGAGAATTTTAATTGGCTGCCATTTTTTACTGAACTGATATAGAGACCTCTAATTTGCGTTGTTGGTTTTCTTTTACCAGGACCTTTAAAATGAGGGGTCACTCAATGGGTCTTTGTATTTGAAATTTTTGAGTTTCCCCCAAAATCCCCATTTTAGGGATGAACACCAAGTGGCGGTTATGCCCAAAAAGTACTTCATAACATGCCATAATGGTGCGCCGAGTTAAGTTTTTCTAGTATGTATGGGCCATTAAAAAAATAACAGCGGGTCTCCTCACTTTTTACTAACCCTATATAGTTTTTAAGTCATCTTGGCCGCCATCTTGAATATCTCAATTTGCTCAAGGGTGACAAAGTGGCACCTTGCCTATTTTAATTATGTAGGTCTTGAAGAAACAGAAACCACTAAAAAACATCGGGTGGACCTTACTTCCAGGTTTTTTGACCTGCAACCAGACTATAACTCAGCTGGTAACAATAATCCTACATTTCTCCCCACCCAATTTAGGCTGAGTTTCCGAAACTATGTACATCATCATTTTCAGTTTCCATTTGCATTTTCCATTGAGGTGGATCAGTTGAAATGAAATTAAATGAAATGTGTTTATTGTCTTGTGAATTTATACAAATTATTGACAATGTCCGAAAAACTGCTAAAACTAGCATAGTCAGTTAATGAATACAATATACAATATTTACAAGAATACTACACACAAGGAGACATGTTACAATACATTACTTTAATATTACAACCAAATAATCTTATTGTTCAGAAAAATGCAAGGCATTTAGAATAATGAAAGTTATTAAACCCCATTGCCAGCTAAATCCAACAGTAATTTGATAAATTTGCTATCTATACTTAAAAATTAATAAAAGGCATTTCAAAAAAATCTTTTAGAGAATAAAAAGGGTTGTTCAAAAGCCATTTGTAGAATTTAAATTTAAAAGTTTTATTAGGATATTTTGTTATTAAATGTATTAGCTTGTTGTATATTTTTAGTGAGATTACAATATGACTTTTAAGAGTTTTAGACAGTCTATAAAAATCTATGGTAGCAACGTTTTTATTCCTTGTATTATGAACATGAGAATTTTGTTTGATAAGGTTGGGATTTTGTAGAATATATGATACAGAGTCAAATATATAAATGTTAATTACTGTTGGAATTTGTAGCTGAATGAACAGGGGTTTACAGTGTTCCTGTTGGGGTTCACAAGATATGATTCTAACTAACTTCTTTTGTAAGACTAAAATTTCCTCTATCCTACTGCAATTTCCGTAAAAGATAATATTGTATCTGAAAATGGATTGGAAATAAGCAAAGTAGGCTGTTTTAATATAATTTTGATCTATACAATGTATTAGTTTAGTTATGAGACAAATTACCCTTGAAAGCTTAGAGCTTATGTAATCTATATGATCTCCCCAAGAAAGGGTCTTATCCAGATAAATACCAAGAAATTTAACATTGTCTACATAACCATCCAACATATTTGATTCACAGGGTCTAAGGCTAAAAACAATTTTTTGAGTTTTATCTTTGTTTAAGAGGAAGCCATTTGATTCAAACCAAATAGAAGCTTCATTGATTGAGTTTTGAGCTAACTCTTGAAGTTGTTTAAGATCGGGATTAATATTTAAAAATGTTGTATCATCTGCATACAAATAAGTTTTACTGGTTATACATTCTGGGAGGTC